TGTGTGTGTGTGTGTGTGTGTGTGTGTGTGTGTGTGTGTGTGTGTGTGTTTGTGCGCGCACGCGATTTCTCTGTCTGTTTTCTTGCTATGTTCTCCCGGCCACCTGAGTGTGCCATCTAATAAACCCAGACATTTGATGTGTGTTAATCTGGTGGAATTGTATTTGATGTCTGTTAATCTGGTCTGATTGGAGCCAGCGGCTACTTTTAAGATTTTTCCTAACAGTTGGTATAATGTAAATTATAAAAGCTGGCAAGAAACAAACCAAAGCTAAGGCCAGGCACTCCTAAGTAAAAATAAGCCTCCGTGTGTGATTTATTTTGGAGCTGCGTAGTGAGCCCACAAAAGAGCCAAAAGAGTATGGGCCGAAGAGTAAGACAATTAACAACAGACTAGGGATTGGAGAATTGATGGAGAAATAATCCTTGCACAGGGGCCATGCTAATCTTCTCTGTAACGTTCCAATTTTAGTATATGTGTTGCCGAAGCGAGCACACTATCATTTACCGGATTCTTTGTCCTTTGTGGCAAAAAGATTTTCTTTTTTTTTTAATTTATAAAAGTTTATTAATTTATAAAAGTTTCCATTTCTGCCCCTCCTCCCAACACCCTCCAACTCTCCCCACTCCCTCTCCTCCTCCCTCTCCATCCCTAAGAGCAGTCAGGGTTTCCTGCCCTGTGGGAAGCTCAAGTTCCTTTCCCTCCCTCCAGGTCCAGGAAGGTGAGCATCCAAACAGACTGGATCCCAAAAATCCAGTATATGCAGAGGAAACAAGTCCCAGTGTCATTGTCAATAGCTTTTCAGAAAGACCCCGTGACAGCCACATTCAGAGAATCCGGCCACATTCAGAGAATCTGGTTGGATCACGTGCTCATTCAGTCCCAGTCCAACTGGCCTTGGTGAACTCTCATTAAATCAGTCCCCTTGTATCAGTGGGTGAACGCACTCCTCACGGTCCTGCCTTTCTTGTTCATATTTTCCCTCCTTCTGCTCCTCATTTAGACCTTGGGGGTTCAGTCCAGTGCTCCAATGTGGGTCTCTGTCTCAGTCTCCATCCATCAACCGGTGAAGGTTCCCTCTGATCTTGCCTTCTTTGCTCACTTTCTCTTTCCTTCTGTTTCTTGTTTGGACCTAGGGAGTTAAGTCCAGTGTTCCAATGTGGGTCTCTGTCTCTATCTCCGTCCATCGCCAGATGAAGGTTCTATGGTGATATGGAAAATATTCATCAGTATGGTTATGGGCCAAGGTCAGTTCAGGCACCCTCTCCTCTGTCCAGTGAACAATCTGGGGATCTCTCCTTGGACCTGGGATCCCCTTTATAATCAAGTCTCTTGTAAACCCTAAAATGACTCTCTTAGTTGAGATATATACTTCCCTGCTCCCATATCCATCCTTCCTCCCTCCCCCCCATCCCAATCCCCCGAGTTTACTCAGCGGTAAAAAACAATGACATCTTGAATTTTGCAAGCAAATGGATGGACATAGAAAACGCTTTACTGAGTGAGGTAAGCCAGACCCAAAAAGAGGAATATGGTATTTATTCACTCATAAGTGAATTCTAGCCATAATTAAAGGTCTTTGAGCCTATTATTCGTGATCCTAGAGAAGCTAAATAAGAAGGTGAACCTGAAGAAAATCATGTAGTTATCCTGGAGATTGGAAGTAGACAAGAGTGCCAGGCAACCTCGGGTGCATGGGGGGCTGGGAAGGTTGTTGGAAGGGGAGAGGGTTACAGAGAAGGGAGTAGGGGAGGAATGGGGAAAAGGGTTTCTTAAAGTGCATACTGGAGTTGGACTCTGAGAACTAAGGGAGTGAGATTATGAAGTCTGTAGATGTGGATGATCTGCGGGAAAGGGAAGAGTGGAAGGGGAGTACACAGCATGTGATCTGCTACAGAGCTGGGGATAATGCTGGGGGATTGAAATTAGCAGGGGAATGAAAACCATTTACCTGATCCCCAAATCCTTTGTGGCCTTAGGGTTTCTGTGGAGCAGGAAGTGTGATCTTCATCTGAAGCCTGAATATGTAACTAAATTCTGGTCTTGAGGATATACGATGAAGAATCTAAGAGATAATCAATAGTAGACTTCTTAATTTCATCAAAATTGCTATTTTTAATGACTAGGGTGTATGTGATTTCAAAAGGAAAGAATTTGTGTTTCTTTCTTAATGTTCATTAATTCAGATGAAGGCATACAAGACTCAATAACCCCAGGTGAAAGACAGAATGTTTTACTCACAGCTCTGGAGGAAGAAGGACTAGATAGGAGGATATTCCTAGAAAAAGAAAATGCAACAGGAAGGAATCATGAGAAATTATTACACAAATCATGACTTACTATATACTAAATATTTGTAATAATTCCTGTGGCCAAGAGACAGTACTTATTCATAGATATTTGCATTCACTTCTGATTGGGACATGGCTTTTAAAATATTTTCTGAAAAGTGAAAGAGTGAGATTTTAACAAGGATCTAAAAGTTAGGGAAGGGTCAAGTGAAAGGTCACTGAAAAACACGGACTGATATACCAAAAATAAACTTGTTCCCTACATTCAAACTTTATTGTAATGATGCTGCACCTCTCAAAATTTATGGTTTGTCTGGTTTTCTCAGGTGTCATGTGTAAAGGGATGCATGTGTATCTGTGCTCCAGTTTCTAAATATTACTTTTATCTTTAACTAATTCTAAGAAAATTGTTTACAGAAATGAATTTAATTCAAACCCACATTTTGTGAAAATATAGAAAGTTACAGAACATCATTACTAAAATGTTCATAAATACTATGAAATGCCTATGAAGTATGTCGTTCATTTTCTTTGCATATATGCATTTGGGTTTATGGATTTTACAAGAATGTAATTCTCAAAATTTATAATAATTAAAAAAGTATGATAGTAAATATCCTTTTTAACTATTATTTTATACTCTAGACCTTTATTTTATATATTAACTTTCTTTTATAACTTTAAAATATTAATGCTCTCTGGAAATCTGTGCTCATTTTACATGAGATCATCTGACATTTCAATCACATTCATTAACATAGGCTTTATTAAAAAAATTCCCTACAGTCATAGGCAATATGGACAGAAAATAAAAATACCTTACTGGGGCTTACTTTCCAAGAGCTCTGACCTTTTACTTTTTATGAAAGTTTTTATTTATTACTTAGACTTTTCTTGTTATTTTTCAGTTGATCTGATTGTGAGTTGACCTTTAAGAATTTGTTGATTATAAATCCTTACTCATCACCATTTCATATGCTTCTTTTCCCAGGAGAAGCAAGTGTAAGTACAAGAATATGGGGTTTATGGTAAAGTATTATGACCAGTTTCAATAAGTAAAATGTATATATATATATATGTATATATATATAAATATGTGTGTATGTGTGTGTATACATATATATGCAACTTCAGAATGTTGTTGTCTATGAATTAAATTAGTTTTGTAAAAATTTTGTAATACTTATGAAATTTTAAATAAAATTGTTGCCTTATGAAATTATAATCTCTCACATTTATGCATGTACAAAATATCATTTGGATTATTTTGACTCAGATATATTTCACAAAATAATATTCTCTTGAAAAAGTAGAATATAATGACTGTAAAATTTGTTTTAGTCATTGTGACCAGTATTTAAAATCATTAAAGAAATAAAATCCTTGTCCCATTACAGTGAGTTTTATAATACAGACAATGATTAAACTAGTTGGGTTGTATTTAATAAAATATTTCAACCCAAATTAGTATGAATATTCTTTGATCTATACCAAGTTCCAGTATTATAGAATATTACTGTTGCTGTTAAAGATACAAAAATATATGATAATTATAATAAATTAACTAATTTTGTAGGATATAATATGAATACACAAAACAATATAATCCAGAAAAGAATGAATGGGAAAAACACAAATCATATATTTGATAACAGATTATTATCTAATTCAAATAAAAGAACACTTGAAGAAATTCAGTGTTAATACACCCATAAATAAACACAGAAGCACACACACACACACACACACACACACACACACACACACACAGAAAAAACCCAATAACAACAACAAAAAAGAATGTAACTTTAATGGACAAGATGTGGGCTGCTTTCGTTTCTGTAAACAATATATAAATTTTCTAGCAAGGATGTAGTGAAAACATGCATTTTTTAATGATTAATTCAATGTTATTATTATAATTCCATGACTTTTTAGAAAATTTCATATAAAAAGTACTGTGGAAGAGGTTGTGAGAAATGGATTCATTCAGCCATGTTGGTAGGAGTATAGGTGTGCAGCCATATAATCAAGAACAGTAGTATTAGTGTTCCGAAGGAAACTAAACCTGTCACAATACCAATCTACCAATTCCTCTAGTGGGTATTCCACCAATGATTAAAGAATCATCATTTTATAAGTATAACTGCACAGGCATGTCCATTTCAGCATTATTAACCAATATTTTCTAAGATGCATACAAAATAAAGGTCATTGATGCTAGACCAGGTGAAGAAACTTGGATATATATAAAATGTAATTTATTCTTAAATAAGGAAACTTTACAATATGTCATTACATAGAAGGAATAAGAAGCTATTATTGTGCAAAGCCAAATAGGGCAGACATAAAACAAAACAGGCTATCTCATTTATATGGGGAGGAAAGAGAAAAATACAAAATAGCAGATGATCAAAAGAACAAAACTGTAAATCTAAGGTAGACCATAACAACTATAATTTATAATGTGTTGTTGAAATGCAATTTTTCACTAAATGTATAGATTTTACAATGTCTTGCCCAAATCAGAAATGGACAATTTCATAAGATGACAAGTGACACTAATTTCACAAACTTTAGTAATCACTTTACTGTCTTTTTGTATGTCATAAGATTATGGGGATTAGCTTTAGGATATGATATCAAATTTATTTAAACATAGCAAAAATAATGTAAAACATTATTTATTGTTTATTTTGTACAATTGAAATGCAGTATATTTGTAATATGTAATATAAAAAGATGGTATTTGAGATATTAGATTAAATAAATAGAACCTTTGTGTAGTCCATTGCATGATATACCATATAACTTATCAGAAAAAAAATGTTAGAGTAAATCTCATTTCTAATGGTTCCAAAGAAAAATAAAAGTATTAAAAATAAATCTATAAACATTTTCTCCCTTAAAAATAATGCAAGGAATTAAAGAATTCACAGATGAAAATATATCAATGCTCATGAAATGAAAGGTGATGTTAAACTGCTTGTTTCATCCACAGCAATACACATATTCATTGCAGTACTTATCACACAGCCCCTGCCATCTCTTAAAGAATAGCAAACAATTATGGAAGCTGTGAAATCATAAAGGACGACAAATTTCCAAATAAATTTCTATAAAACAGAATGCTGCAGGCATCACACATTATAATTTTGTATGCAACTTATGACTTAGAAATGAAAATAATATTGAGAGTCTGTG